CTGTAAGTTCAACGTATTTCACAGCTTGATATATGTTTTTTTTCTTTAAATTATTAGTGCTTTTCTAGGCCACCCCTTTCTCTTCATTTAACAGTAAGGCTGATGAAACGGCCATTTGAGGTCTCCAACGATGATCAGAGCATTGTCACTGCCAAATTCCATGCAAACTACCCGTCTTTCCGCGGGCCGACGTTCAATTGCTTTACCATTACGAAATCGGCTTTGTCTTTCGCAAAGCAGATTATGAAAAAAGCTCGCTATGGTTGCTATTAAAGTTGATAAGTGTAAAGATTTTCTGCTAGTAGCCAGTGTCACTGAAATCTCGTTTCTCTCCACCCACGAAGAAGCTGCTCCTCCGCTTTCACTGTAAAATATGGAAGCTATCGCAGTGTATGGAGTTTGCAGAATGATTCACCCTGCCACCGTTATAGTAGTAGCCCGCTGCCCGTTGCATTTTTTAAGAACGGCCCTAAAAGCCTGCAGCGATGACACATTTTCATCGTTATCGCCTGATCCGCACCTTTAAACGACTTTTAGCCAACTTTCTGAAATCGTAAGCAGCGCGGGACAAAAAACCCACTAATTCACCTGGTGAATAGTCCATCTTGTGCGCATCTTCTCCTGTGACGCGTTTTTGTTAGCAGTGGTATGGTCAGTGAACCCAATCAGCAGGAACTAGCGGCTACTTACGTCTTGTACAGTCCAATAACCATAAAACTGTCTTTTGCAACCACAGTCTCTTCAAGAGCTATAGAAACTGCTTTTACGGAAGTGCCTTTACCAAGTTCCTGTTCAGCAGGCATTTATGATAGGCCACATCTACACAGGCTATCAGACCATCGTGTTTTTAGAGCATTTGTTCAAAAACTTAGAAAATTTCTGCGCAAGATCCTTTCACACTAATCCGGACGTCGTCGTCTCTCACTTGCCGCGACTGTGATCTTGTGTCACGACGGATCAATGCCAAGCTGTTGCTTCTTACCGCTGGACCGTAGCGAAAAAGGGCGTTTCGTTGACATTCTAAAGTATTATAGAATTTGAGAGTTTACACGGAGACGCGCTGTTCCTGTTGTTGGTTGTGACGCCATGTGTCGTCAGAAGGCAGGAATCAAGAAGAAAAATGCCGCATTTAATAAAACCGGCTTGCGAAGTAAAGGTTTCATCAAACAGGTTCCCGATCTTACTTGGAAATGCATTCCGGGTCATGTAACTGCCACCGCAGCCCTCTTTGAAAGAGCATTCCCGTTTTCATCCATCTCTTGTATGACTGTGAATACAGGCCCGCCTACCGCTGTGTCTGCCTTAAGCACACTGAACCGAGGGGCCATATCCGTCGAGAACATCTCGTTCCTCTGGTCACCCTTTACCAATATAAGAAGTCGCAAGGAACAGGGGTGGCACATGTTAAAATCAGCCTATTTAACAACTTGGCAAGCTTAACAAGAAAACTGCTGTCTACGAAACAGGAACGATACTAGGCGGTCAGTCGCGGCTCAATTTGAATAACTGTCATCTGTTTAAAGTCCATCAACTTTTTTTTTACTTCAAGCCTACCTAGTGGTCCCTTAATTCAAGGTGAATCTGTACAAATTTGTTTACCCTATAATTAGCAGAGTCTTACTTTTTTGGCACAATTATAATGAAAGACGCTAAACAGATCGTTTATGACTCTATCAGAGAGTCCAAAATATTACAAAGGATCATAATACGCAGTGATGCTCTGCAGTCCTGATAGTAGAGCAGCATTAAGTCGAATAAAACCTACTTTAATTATAGCTAAAAAAAAATGAGCGTAATGGAATCATTGAGAGTGCTTCGCCCAGAGCGTTTATATCAAATAGAGACGAAGACAAGCCGGCACGCTTCATAATACGAGCTTATGGCTTATCGTTGACGTCATTTGTTATTATCACAGGTTATTCATGGCCGGCTGAGTAAAGGTAGCGAGAGTGAGATTGAAACTCGTTTTTTTTTTCCGATTAAACCTTTTCGTTACAGGTGTTTTGCATGAGAAAGTAGTATATACTATATAACAAGTAGCGCTAAGCAGATTATTTTATCAATGTATTTAGTATGAGTATCTGTGTATCTAATCTATTTCAGTTTCGGTATACAATGTATGGGTTTATAGATGTTTTTGAAAATGAAACTGTTGTCGTCCTCGTAGAGCATCTATTATTATAGCTTTCATATTAGCGTTATCCTTGAAACACCTACATATAACGTTGATTCCGCTCTTAAAACCAATCAACGACAGATCTAAATGCTACTGAATTACTGATTGGGTAGCCACCTCAGCCACTAGCTACTCTAAATATATACTGTATAAACACTTGTTATTTAGTTAAGAAAAACAACAATAAGTGCCGAACCCTTTGTTCTGCTCTGCCGAATAGAGAATTTGGTACTCTTGAGTTACTTTTTTCCGTCTTTTGGACGAACCTCGACATAAGGTTTCTCATAACTTCTTCTTCTTCTTCTTCTTCTAATCTCTTCGGACATTAGTACGGAAGTCGTGAGGTGTACGCCGTGTCGCACAATCTCTAAATGTGTGTCTCTCTGATAATACTGGTATATTTATCATTTTAACTCCTCATTATGGAGATATATTCTCTGTGATAAAGATCCTTTTACTCAAATGCTCGTATTCGAACACACGACTTATCCAGAGCACGCTGATAACACCAAGCTCGCTGCTGCCTCAGCTAGCATTAAGGTAACGGAAATAATTTTTTAAGGAAGCGCTTAAACATTGCGACTACCAGCTGGAGTAGTTAACTTGAAAGCCATTCTAAAGAAACCTTGTTTGTTCTCTTCGTCTCTAAGGCTTAAGTCAGTTTAGGATAGTTTGCAAGAACGGATTTTTGTCAGCGCCAACATCTTCTCCCTGCCCTGTGTTCAGAGCAGAAAACTAACCTGATTTAAAGATTATATATTTCTTAGAACAGTTGTTTTAGAAACGCTCAGAAAGGTACTGAAAAACTGAGAAGGAATTAAAAATTAGCCCATATACTCAAGCAACAAATATTCTATGTTCTAGGCTTTCCGTACGGCCCAAAATGATCGAGTCGCTTATACGATTGATTCAATGTGTTTATTAGAATTTAGGCGAAGCTGCGAGTTTTCCATTACGGAAAATTCGATTTTGTGAGATTCTATTAGTAATGCTTCAGGCACACGAGACAACAATTGACAAAGAAAAGAGTTTGTAGTTTTAAATCTTTCTCTCTTAAATTAGATCGGTTGACTAGGCTAAGAAGTAAACTGTATACGTTTGATGCATGCTTCATAGTTATTTTTAATTTTGATGTTTTTGAATGCGACCCATATTCTGAATGACTCTTCAAACCAGGCCGATCAAAGAACAGTATCAAAGCTGAGTAGTGGTATTCCACCCGTACGTAGTGACGTTTCTGTGAAAAAAATAGTATAAAGCATCTACTTGTCGCTTCTCCACCTATGCCTAGCACTATGCATCTCGTAAATATAGATAAATATTGAAGATCGTCGTTTGTAGCTTGATTCAAGTTAACGTCTTGGGGGCACCTTTTATTTGCATCGAAATTATAGACGAGAAGTTCATCGGCGATAGCAGCGCTACAATAAGAAAGGAGCTGGTTACGTAAGTGTTGGGCAGTTGAATGTTATTTGAAAATACGATAAGTGTATGTATGAACCAGTGAACAACTTCAAAGTACGAAATAATTGCTTGTAAAGTTGAGGCATAAGCTAATCTCTTACCTAGTCTATGTGTTTCAATGGTTGCGCGCATAACATCACTACAATACAGTGTCCAATGGAAGAGTATGCATAGATAAGAAAAAAAAGTACGCTCGTTAGGAACAGCCTGTGTAATAATTACCTTTATACTCTCTATAAAGGGCATCTGTTTTGACATTTTTTTTAGTACACTATGTGTATTAATTGGTTGGTGGCAATCCTCCGCGCACTGCATCAGCAAATTCATTACTGGACTACCAGAGTGGTTGCTATATCTGGACTGGGGGCAAACACGCTTTTTGCCTCTAGCACTTTATTATCCTAGCCTTTTCCTAATTAACGCTATAATGATTTTACCGTCTTTCGGCAGTACGGCATAACGAACAGCCGGCTAATATTAATACGAAAGCACAAAATCAAAAATACGAAGAATTGCATACTTACGTTTCAATTAGAACTTGAATACGACTTTAACTATGCGCACTCATCTCTCTTCCATAGTTTTCACACATCTGTGGCAAAAATAAATTCAACACATTGATTACCAGAAGGGATTACTTGATTACCGAAACACACGGGTATAGGTTTATCAGTAGGTCATTAAAGAAATATATACAACAGTTAGAAACGCAATACGGAGCACACTTTCGAAGTACATAGTCAACTCAAACGGAAAGCGTATTCTTTTAATCGATGTCACATTAATTTTTTTTATGGATTTTTACATAGATATATACATATATGATGTAAATATACGCTGCAGTATACATAGTTCCTTGTACATATTTAAAAGTTAACTAAAAAACGGTACAATCTCTCGGTGCTCTAGTTTCGTAAGAAAACATCTATCTGATAACATTTAATGTAAAGCACTATCTGCTCGTTGAGAGATCTGAGTTGCATTTTTTCCAATCAAATCAAACCAATAGATCAAATAGGTTCTACGTAGCCGCTTTAGAGCGGAAAGCATGTATTACGTATCACTTGGGTTGGAAATGGTTGGAAAAAATGCAAAATTTCACAATTGGTATTCAAATTCGTTTTTTCTCGAAAGAGGTAAAAAATGAATGTTTTGACCCCATTGCGGATCCGTATGTAGAATCAATTGTTATGTCAAATTCGAGTAGAAATAACTGCGTGAAATTGAGTCAAGTTCAAAATTTCCGCTAGAAAAGACTCTTAACTTAGCCCCAAACACGAACTTCACACGCCTCGCTTCAATAAGCTAGAATACTATCGTGTCCCATCTCACTGGGGCTAGTTGTCTCTCTTATAAATCTCTTACGATGAACGCGGTTATTTTCTCATTTCTTAGAAGTGATGGATCCGCGATGAAAACGCCGATATTGAATCTGAAATAGATAAAGAGGCAACGAAACGTTTCTTCTATGCGACCATATTATCGCCGTCTATAATATGTTGCAGTACCTTTCCCTTTAGTCATTATATCATCTGCTGTGACGCAGCCAAGTCAAATATTGTAGGTAAGAATGGGATGGGCTAACTGATACAAGATGAGCAGGAAATCACTGGAGATAGAGAAACGGGTAGTCATTGCTGCATGATGGAATGGCCCCTACCAACTCAAAGAGCCTCTTCCCTTCAGTGAAGACCTCTGTCGTAGCATCTTTCAACGGCCCCATTTCCCTGGATTTTAGATCCAAATGTGCTACACTTCTATACCGCACAGAGACACAATTCCCCGAATGAAAGAAGCTGATCCCATTAGCCGTTCTTCTTGACCCATTCTGGGGTCCCAGCTAGCTAGGTATCGTTCTACAACTGTTAGTCGTCGACTTTTCTTATCCAGCCATTATATTCTCTATCCTGTTGACCCTGCTTGCTCCACAAAAAGCTAGGAAAAGGGCAAAGGCACAAGAAGATTCGGCGAAATAAGAAATAAGACGAAATAAGAAGATTCGGTAAGAATTACCATCGAAATTGCGCTACACAGGCGCAATATGTATACACATATATACACCCTTGTAGGTGTGGCCTTTTCTTGCCTCTGTCTGCATGGTTGCGGCCTAGGACCGTAAGACATGGCGCTAGCTATTAAGATTGGGTTGGAAATAAAACAAGGATGGAGATAATAAACAGGCAAAAGAAGAAATAGATTATGATCGTTAGATACTAGGCTAATATAATTTCGATCAATAAGTCTGCAAAAGGTAGTTATTACAAAACAACTAAATATTTTTTTGCCGCTAGTGGTGTTTTTCTCTGCTTATTTATTTCTTTCGTTCTCGTATACATTTTATGCACGTGAAGAACATTTTCGTCCTACTAGTGTCTGCAGTTTCACGAATACAAAAAGGGACGCAAATACTTTTGCTGCGTTCGGTACTACTTTTTCATCGGTTGCTAAATGTGTTTATTGTGCCAAAGGTAAGCAGCCAGGCAAACCACCATATGTGTACCGCTGCGTTACAACAGATAAGAGAGTAAACGAATGGGCGAGAAACTGATTGTGCTACTGAATATTGGATTCGGTCAGTTGTTGAGGTCTATAAGAGATGTAACCTGTTCCCCGGGGCAATAGCAGTAGAAGGGCGTCGAGAGAGTGTTTTCTACATGGTGGTGGGCTGTGCAAGATCACACGAGGGACAGTGGTAAATATAGCTGTGAGGACAGCATGGGCTGGATGGTTAGGGTTCGGTAATAGAATCATCAATAATCAAAGTTGACTGCGAAGGGCATGAGGGGTTCGGGGGATCATACAATCAGTTGCTTGGGAGGACAAAACCGCCAATATTATTGGTCTCGAGAGCTTGGCGATCAGCAGTGACTCGACAGGGCGTGGTGGTGGCCTCACGTAGCTTTACGTTCTTATCCGTATTGATGAAACTCCAGCCGAGTGCTACCTACATCGGTTTCTGCGGGCTAAGCCCATAAAAAAGTACCCTTAATCGACCGTAAATTAGTCCGCTCGGCACGACATATTCTATCGGGGCCTCTTTAATGTCGCTTGGAGCAGTACCAAAACGTTACATATTAACGTCTGTATTCTAAGCAACTTGTAAGAAAAATATACGTCGCTTTCAAGGAAAAATTGCATTTATACCTTAATCCACTAAAGAGCAAAGAAGACCATTTACATTATAGAATAGCGCCCATGCAGCTCAAGTAACGAAACCTACTCAAGGTAGACCCGCGAATAAGTTAGCCAACTTCAAAACCTATTTTCGTTGACTTAACCAACTTGTACGAGGAAAATTACCTGAATAAAGATATATTTTTCGCAGAATGCGGATCCGTGTGTATAGAAAGTTTAAAACTAAAGAACCATATGGCCATAATAACTATTAAAGCTAGACCGTAGACTATAAGTACATAATGTGCTTTATTCATTTTTTTAAACGATGAAACCTCTCTGCATCAGTGCCTCCGAAAAGCGGAGGGGACCAATCTTCAAGCAGATTACAGATTAAGGGGTACAATAATGTTTATCATGTTGGCTAAGCGTGACTGAGTGGTATACTACTATAGCCTTTAGCCAGCGCAAATATTAGTAGTTGAATTCGAATTATACTTGACTAGCCAAAGATTAGGTGTCTTCGGAAGAAATATTGTGTCATGCTCTCTACCACCCAACGTCAAAACAGTTGAATTATGCTATCTAATTCTACTCGGTCAAGTCGCTTAGGTCTGCATTTACGCCGAGCAAACGGATTATTTATTTTTTGAGCCGTTAAGAAAACGTTAACTGTCTTTCTGAGAAAAAGAACAGCGAACCGTTTACCAATACGTGGAAGTAATGGATCTGTATATCGACAATGTTTGTACGAAATTTAATGAACATTGCAAGATCGGCACAGCATTAACAAAGGAGAAAACCCATTTTTATTAGTCGGTACAAATTTCTCGTTTCGTTGGTGCAGCGCTGCCCCTTGTTTTCTAAGTGCCCAATTGTTTAGGATGCTGACTTCGATGTCTCATTGGGTGGCCCCGAAGACCTTGCTTAAACAATTTCGGCGACATCACCAAAATCTGATCTATTCTATTAGTGTCCTCCAGATTTTCGCTCTGCCTTCAACATAGCCTTGACCGAAAGCAAACACATAAACATTTCTTTTGACTTACAGTAACTCAATAGTAATGTACAGCAAGATAACATATTTCAATAAACGAGGGTGAACGAAGAGTGCTCGAAGTTTATACCAGCATATATACTGCTTTTTTTTTTCGCTCTGAGCATCCTTGTCCTATTCTGAATTTTTTCATGTCCTTGCGCCGAGCCGTACAGAACGATTGTACTTTTGACGCATCGAAAGCAGAAGAAGTGAGGAATAAGAATGGCATCACAGAACCAATAAACTGAATAATCGTGAGAATTGCAAAGCAATTCTATGGATCTATGGTGTTAAAGTTTTTCGAGGTTCAGTGTAACGCCCTTTGTTTTTCTCTATTTGACCAAACTTTCTACTGGCTACGATGATGCCAGCTGTGAAAAGAGTTTTTTCAAAATTTCAGAAGCATAAGAAAATATTCTATTTCTGAAATCCCAGATGTTATGAACATTATCAATCTACATGTTAGACCATTAAACCCTCTGTTTGGGTCTTTTCAATAACCAGTCTAGCTAATAATTGTACACTCAGTTGCTGTGCATGGCTTAGTAATCGCTACATCATCACTTTTAACCTTATCTAACGCTACTCCAGGTCTTCGATGTGGAAGAATTTTCGCTGGATTGCTGAGCTTCTTGTTCTCTGATCCAACGATAAGAATGAGAAGCTGAAGCTTTTAATGCCGGCAAATCTCGGCTGTAAGCTATGTTCCGCGAGACAAAATCACAGCAGGTAAACTCAATAGGCCAATAAAACCAAGGAACTCTGAGCAGGTTACGGGCCGCTTATTCTCAATGTATGCTCTGCGTGCATAACACTGACTGTTCGTCAAACGCGATTCAATAACTTTAGCGCCATTAGGCTCACTGCGAAATAAAAGAAAGGCCATGATGACTCCTAGTAAATATATAATGTCTTTCAATTCGACTGTTCGTGCAAGACAGCTAAAAATATTTTTTTTCATTTTTTATGATTTGTTTCAGGGTATGCGTCTTTTGCGCTTATTGTTTTAGTAGCCCTGCTAAAATGAATCCAAGTTTTTGGCGCTAAGCAGACTAGAGATAGCGGATCCGAAAAGGCTAGCGAGACGGTCCTGAAACAACTTCTGAATTGAAAGGAAAAATGTTAAAGGGCATAATTCTGTAGGAGATGTAGCTTAACTGGCGCAAGATTTTCTTTGTTGCTAACGGATCCAGTAGACGCGGTCCTGGTTGCCGCTTACTTTTAATTGGAGTTCCTTCCTTCATGAGGTACGGTCACACAATTCAGTACAATAATTCAAAGGGAAATTTTTAAGCATGTCAATAAATGATAGTTATTTGAAGGAAGGTGTTAATATTTTTAGCTGTTACTAGTAATTGTAATAGAAAATGCTTTTTCGCAAGGTAACATTATTATTTTTTATGAGAAAACCCGTTTAAGTTACACTTCCGTTAATAAATCAAGAGCTTATATTGCAGGCATTGTTCATACAGTATCATTTTAGATATTTGATTGTCGATGTGACGTTTGTCTGACTAAAGACAAATGAACTTCGGTAGAACTTATGCTCGTGGAGGAAGCTAAACATTGTAGCTTACGGGAGTCGAGGATGATGTAAGATAGGTCACAGCTCAGCGGTGAAGTGCTTGGCGAGCAGCATTAGTACGGCAAAAATATTTATGTTACAAACTCTATATGCAAACATCATGTTTTCAATTTACTAAGATCTCTATACATTATTTGCAGCCTCGGAAATAATAGAGAGGATTTCCGATGCTGGGCAGATTAAAAGACACCAAGGCATACCACTACAGGAAAATCTCGCTTCTATAATGGCTAGATTTAAAACGATCTTCTCCTGTCGAAGAGCGATTAAAAATCAAATATGATAATCCCGAAAACAATACATAACTGTAATTAGTACATATACTATTTTACAAGCTCGAATTCACTGACGGTTGGTTTTCTGGCGCCTACGGTCAACATTTTTTGTCGCGTAATCTTATTCACGAAAGATCATAAATTATTATAGGTTCTTGTCTATGTAGTATATATTTTTATTATCGAAGTATATATTTTTGGAAGGTCATGATTGAAATTGAGGTTGAAGTTGTTGTAGTGCAGCGAAGAGGAAGGCTGACTATCACTACATACAATAAAAATAATATGCTTTCTCAGCCGTTCTCACGCGACTTCGCAACGTAATACAATTTACGCTCATTAAATAACTGCATTAAATAACCATAAAAATAAGTAGTTTCAAATTATATAGTAGATGCAATAACATATACGAAAATGCTCGACCATCCGTCTGCGCTAAACTGTTATACCTTTCAGTGGCGAGATTGGCCTTAATGTTCTTCTATAAAGCTGTAATATGTATAGGATTAAATAATTACACGCGTAGGCAAACAATATTAACGTGCAAGACTGCGCCTTTGACTAAAAATCGACGTTAGTCTGTGTGAGCCCGAGTGATTACTATTATGAAGTCATCAATGAGGAATAGTGAACTCATTATAATGGCTATTATCTGCGCGTATTCACTGAGCATATATAATCTACATAGTTCTCACCTTTTTACCTTGACTGTGATTTTACCTAGTGGTTTACCCTAGTGGCCCTGTGCATCTGTATGTCCTCCATATATTGGGTAGAAAGCCTAAACTAAAGTATATTCATGAACCTTTGAGACGATCATTTAGAAAATTAGTTACATCCAATTGACCTGTTAATTTCATTTTACGAAACACCGAGCATATATTGTTAAGTGCGTTCTAAATTCATTCATTCAAGCGCTATGGTTTATTTTTCATTAAAGTCTTTGAGAATATTGGTTTCGTCCTTATATTAAAAAAGCGAACGGATCGTAAATAGATATGACTTCCTGTAGGTACTTCATCGGTTCGGAAAACTATTTCAGCCACTTTCTAAAAAAATACGTATCTACTCATAACACATTCGCTAGTATTTTACTATAACAATGAAAAACCATTCAGTATCCACAAAACAAATTTACATCCTGAAGGGATTTCAGCTTGAGAGAATTTTCGTCGAAATTGCCAAGCACAGACATTCTCTAAGCACACTGTGCTCAAAGCAACTTAGTTGATTACTTCGTTTCCCATTGTTCCTATACTGGTTCGTATTTACGTATGCTGTGTTTAGTGCACACCCAATTTGCCTTAGTAACGGTCGCTATTTTTAACGTTAAGTTGCAAATATCGGCTTAAACGTTCAAGCGATACACAGAAATCAGATATAATTACGTTATTTTTTTCAGCGAATTATAGTATTAGACCTTTTTCGTATAACCGATGCTTTTCTTCGTGGGGTGTTCAAGGGGTGGGGGGGGGGGGGGGTATCTTTGCAAACTTACGATTAAGGTGTGTTATTTCGGTTGGGGAATTTAAAAAAGCTTTTCGGCAGGTTTGTTCAGCCAATTGCTAACGAAAGCGTTGGGCGTAGATACGAAAAAAAAGGATTATTTAGCTAAGACAAGGGCTGCTCTTGACGTTAAACCAATAAAATAAGTAGCTGACTGAATTGTTATTTTTCGAGAGAGATTGAAGGTAAGCTAAACAACTGAAGTTCTCCTTGAGATTTAACGAGCCCACTTTTAAGTAATGTAATAATAATCTGTGTATGAGCAGCGCACCCTTCATGATTCTGAACATTTTTTTGACCTGCTCTGCCAGAGCGTCGAGCAGCTAGTGTACCATTGTTCTCTTAAATCGATTTTCAACGAAGATCAGAGTACATGTTTAGCTAATAAATTAACATTAGCATATGTATCGAGTGTTCACGAAGGCATAATCGTTGTGAAACCAGCTTCGCAACTAATTTTAACAAATCCAATATTGTGATATTAGAGTCTGTTCGGTGCCGCGGCTTAGGGAACTGGCATTGATTTTATGAGTATCTATCGGCTTTTGAGCAGTATAATTGTTTACTACCGTACGCCCAATCGCGCATTAGCTTTCTACTTATTAAGTTACAAGTTAAACCACTTTACAAACGTACAAGTCGGGGAAATGTACGTTACCCTAAAAAAAAACGATATCTATTTATCATTACTATTTATATTATTTAATCTCAAATTGAAAGGCTTACATTATGGTAAAGTCTTAGTTTAAAGCTGGCACACTATCGTCATTGAAGAAAAATAGAGGATGGTGAAGCAGAGAAAATTGGACCTTGCAATACATATGGAAAACATAACTCTCTATCCTATAAAATGCGATTACAATCTCTGACTGTATGAGCAAATAAAAGTGTTTATTGTCACTGCACTTCCTCTCTCGTTCTATATCATTTGAAAGCACTCATTGACGCAAGGAAAATCCTATTTCGGCGTTACGGTGTAGAGTGTATTCGAGACGCAAGAAGCGTCCCAAGCGACCTTTCTGCTTATCACTTTACGCAAAGTTGCTCGGTATCGTAGGAAGGCGTCAAAGCCGTAACAGTTTGCAATAAACCTAACAACTAAGCAAGTATCTGCAATCTGTATGGCTCCAGCTATACAATTTATTGACGCGGTCGCAAATGCCGAGAGTTTTGGAAAGCGTTGGAAATTGTCTTATAAGAGCTATTCGATCGGCCTAACCGGTGACCAGTTCCTGCCATATAAACCTAAACGCTGTACGGTTAGTATAACTACTACTAATAGAGCTCGTTCTAAAAAGAACTGGTACTTGCTTCGCCTATAAAAACAGCTAGAGTACTTTGTGTTTGCTATAAAAGGTAAGTTACTTAACCGTTAACATTTTGTTTGAAAATAATAGAAAGCGCGGTTGCAACATTGTCCTAATATTTGACTGTAACGCGATTCTGGGGTGAGAAATTCTAACAACGTACAACTTTCGAACTGCAATAGAGCCTCCCGAGTAATAGACATGATAAATATGCCGCTCAGGCCAGCACGTATTGAGATAAACGAGTAATGCTTGCTTATGTACATATAAAATCCATTGTCTGTAACGTAAATTAGCGAAGTGGGTGAGGTTATCAATCATGTTTCTCTTACCGTACGGCCCGTATAACTGTGTTGTGACGACGCCTCGATAATAAACTAGACATTTGTACAACTATCAGTATAAATATGCACAGTTTGTATTTTGGGAGATATTTAGTCCAATATATATAATAGATTTATATAATAGTTCGAATACTCGGAACGTTCGAGCGAACTGCCGAGCGGCCGAGACAAGAGCCGGAGTTTAGGCGCAAGGTGTTCCTCGAAGTAGTTAGGTTCTTTCAGCAACAAAAAAGCAAATTAGTAATTTTAAGATATTAAGAAAATAAGTACCATTGATGCTCCGTGCCTCAACACACATTCACTGTGTATCGCTGGTGTTCAGTTCTGAAATTTATAGAAAAATCCCAGCGTTAGTATTTACCACGCCTCGATAATGCTTGTCATGTCAGAATAGTTGTTTTAAAGAAGGCACACATTGAATGGGTTGGCAGTTTGGGCGACGGAATTAAATGCTCGTATTTTTCACAGCAGTATATTTGAATACAAAGTATGAAATAGGTGATGCTAGAAATAGGTTTTCCATGTCGGGTTATCCATGTGTAGGAACTGTGACAACAGAAAGAGCGTGTAGCTTTCAAATCGCAAAATAACGTCCGGCGTAGTGCGAGTGGATGCAAATAATGTTAAGACCCATTTGCCAAAGACCATTGACAATACATGTTAACCCAACGAGCAAGGTCTGTTAAGTCAATTGTTACATAGCTAAGTTTTAGACAGTGTTGCTGTTTACGGAATACGGCTCTATTTAGAATGAATTGTATCACGTGCTTAGAGAACGTGATAATTGACTCCGGACAACTTCGCAGCCACAAACTTGTAAATTCCTCACGAGTAGATAACTTTGTTTTTTTTGTTTTTTTCTTTTTGTTCAATGACTGTGGCTGCGTTTCGTACGTGAACTAATGAAAAAGCTAGCAACTAAGTAAGCACCATAACTATTTTTATTATTCTTTATTAATTTCTATTTTTTATTATTCTAATTAATTTATTATACGATTAAAGATTTAAACTTTGCAGCATATATTACTAAACATTATTATACATTAACTTTATTTCGTTGTAGTAAGAATAACAGGTAAATCTGCTTATTTTTATACATTCGTAGTTCCTCCATTAGCAGTCAGTCGGAAGTCACTCTGCTATAGGGGAGCAGCACACTGCATGAATTAGAGCAGCTTTTGTCGATGTTTAACAATTATTCAATCACAAGAAAGTTCAATTCTCTCAATTCGATTTTCATTGAAGCAGTCGTCTGTCATCTCTCCATTGCCGGTAAATGGGTCAGGGCTCTCTCCTATTCTTAGAAAATGAGATTACAAAATCACTTCTCTTCTTCCTAGTCAATCGGAAGACATTTAATGGTCGGCTATTAACTATGACGGATGTTCGCGAAAAGCTTCAGTTACATGCTTCTTCAGAACGTTCATATTTCAATCCGAAATTTAAAATGTAAATCGATCGCGTTCCCAAAATGATCTTGCGCGGTACTCATTATGGATACACATTTTTAAAGCTCGTACCAAATCAGAGCTCCAAAATATAGTTTAAGCTGTCCCTTACTAATTAGATTTTCGAAGATGTCCTAAAAACCAGTTTCGAAATTAAAGAAAACAAACAAACGGCTGACCCAACACGTGCGACTGTTCAATATGAAGAGAATTTAGAAAAGCGGTCTTAGATAACGATGATTAAAGTAAGCAATATGCCGATTTTAATCATTGTGTTGTACAATCGCTTCGGCCTTCTATTTGCCGGTGAGTTGAAGCTTCTTCCATCTTCATGTGGAATATGACCAGGGACGCCTTTACGCTTTAGATCACTCAATGCGATCTTAATCTATTCTGTTTTTAAACAGGGTTAGTTTTTTATCCACAAAATATGAAGCTGCTGAGAGCTTAAGGTTGTCTTGTTATACGGTTATCATGTATAACGGTATATCATGCAATAATACGGTGCAGTTATGAATCGCACAATAGCACTGCATTATACGATCCAACACCGTTGTCAGGCCATTTATTATAAATGCGGATGTGACTACCTACCGCACTTTGTCTGCGTTTTCATTAGCACAACCCTTCGTCCGGTCATCCGGTTTGCGTTTCGCTTTACTTTATACCGTTTTTTATTTGTAATTATGCCTCGTTCCATTTGTGCGCCCTATCATCAGTGCTATGCTAGACAACTATCACTGGCCTGTGTACCATCTACTCAAAACATCATTATAATGACCCCTTTTTTTAGGATTCTTACGCGGGCGGGAGTCCACGCCTACAGCGACCACCTTTCTCAGCTTCTGCATTTCAACGAAACGCTCATCTTTTATTAATTGGACGTCATACCGCTCTACTTCGCCACCTATCTACCTCAAACGGCACACCCCTCCCGCCTACCTAAAAACCGCCTTATTCTATTTGTCTGCTTGTACAATAAGCCTCTCAACTGTTGCAACGTGCACTGCCTTTTATGCACGTACATGGTAATGTTATATACAAGGTAGGCAAAAGCCTTTTGAGTCTTCAAAAGTCCTAAATTTACATCTCTATTATGTATATAATATGATATTGTTAGCACATTTGTTAAAGAAGTCTGGACTATTGTTGAGGAAACCCTAACTTCGTTCAGCATAGAAAATACCTAGAGACGCACATTTCGAATGCCAAATGCGTTGTGACTAATATAAACTTCAAGTTTAACTTCGATTTGAAATCGTCGCTCCGCTAATAGTACAGTCCCATGTAGACACAACAAAAGTTTTAAATTTTTTACAGGATATTGCTGATTCGAGGTTTTGGGGTAAAAACCGGGCGTACGTTAAGCACAACAACCGGCTATTATTTTTACATGTTTAAGTAGTTGGGATTCGCAGAAAATCCAGTCTCAATTTTTACTCTGTATGGACCTATAGCAAAATCAAAATACAATAGGTTCATATACGTTGCACGCCTACAGAACTATGAACAGGCGATAATAGTGTCTATTTATGTAATTAGCCAGGTTAAATTCTAGGTAAAAGCTTTCATGTTAGTTATATTATATCCCACCTGTAGGTAGAGCGACATCATTCGTACCTAGCTGTTTGTACAATGCTTGAATTAGTCCAGCCTGCGATTATACAGTAACCGCAGCAACCTGCAATGTCCACATCTTATGTGAAAGTATGTAGAAAAACTCGGGGTCATAATGACGCTTAAATAAATCACTGTGATCATTTATCAAGTTATATTGATCTATGTTTTCTAGATGTTTTGAGTTTTACGGTACCGCAGTGGAGCGTCGCCTCAGACATTGGAAATTAGTAATTGCCGTAGTTTTAATTGACTGCCTTTCTCAGTCAAGATATCTCTAACACAGAACTAGTTCGATACGAATGGGGAATCTTGTACGAATCGTAAAATTTGTTTGATTGATAATGTTCGCTAGATCGGCTAGGACTGAGTGTCGCTCATTTGTGTTAGGCACTCCTGTGCACTTCTAAGCCAATTGCTGAATATACTGAATAAATTGAAGAAATGGCAGGCAGCCCTGTGGTCTCCTATCGAATGAGTATTGTTCTATAATGTCGACAGTCCAGGACATCAGCTCAGATGGAGATTATTAAACCGCTAGCGTGTCGCATGAGACCGTAGTGAGATATCGTTTTTGCTGCCAGTATATGTGGAAAACTGGAGGATACCGTTACTCTTATCTATTAAACCTTAAGGATGCGCTACGCCCTACTTATTCGTTAAGTATTATAACGTTATCATAATTATTAGCCTTGTTGTACATGAATTAGGACAAAAAGTTACATTCCGCAATGTTTTAATGGGAAACAACGAACAGGAATGGAAAACAGGTTCGATTAGACCATCATGATCTGGATATCAAAGCAGGGCCTATTACACAGTCGAAACAGCAGCGTAGACGTTGCTGCCATTAACAATTTCTTACGCATCTGCACGATATCTTCTCCAAAGAACCTTTCATTAAACGCTAGTATCACTCAAAACAAGATATATACGCAAGCCAGCTTTCTGACGTCTAGTCCTAACGTATACATAGCAACACACACACACCCACACGCACGCATGCACGCACGCACACGTCTGCAAAATTGCATTGCCTTCCTTCGTATGCACGTTTCGAATTCAAGTGAAGTTACGCACACGTTAACTGCACTTTCGTCGGAAATAAAAGTAGCTTCTGATAAAAACTCAGCGAGCTGTCTGCACGGAGCAGTACATCAACCTATGCACGTCGGACCATAATAACCTTTGGCAGACTGCTAATTGTTGCCGAGAAGACCATAGGCTAAGATCGTGACCCTATACTACTAGTGTCGTCTGATTGTGATATGCTACTAGTAATGATCTCTCATCATTACTAGTAGTTACCTCTTGTAGTATAGTCCTCATTGGCTCCATTAGTGGAAAGTCCGTGTTGTCTTCAGGAACATACAGCAGCCCCTGTTTGCAATGCCACACAGATCAGATCAGATCAGATCGCTGTTTGGACATGCACTGGAGTGTATAACGCCAGAAACGCGGCCTCGTTTCGAATTTATTCATTCAAGCCAAAACGCAGAACGGCATTCATAACCTTTGAAATATCTGGAGGTGCACATTTAAAAACAAAAAACCTGAAATTTTTTTTTTTTATGAAATTGCAGACATAGATCGATCGGTCGGAAGATTTGCTAGCGCGCGGCTTACATTTTACGAAAATGGAACACGATGACATTAATATTGCCATATCGATTTTGTTTTAGCATCAAAATATATAGAAGATAGCAAGTACTAAAATCAATATTATACGCCTTTAATTTTTTGCAAAGAATAGATGCATTTACGAACCCCTATCATTTGTGTACGTACAAAATCATACTCAAGAACTAACATTTGCGATCCACCGGCTATTCAAGTTCATCAGGTATTTCTGCGGTTGTGCATGGCTTCGTAAAGCTGTACGTTTTCTTAAGTATTATTATACAGTTAATAGAAAAAGTAGTCACCCCAATTTGGTGACGAATTTTTTATCGAGTAACTATTGCATATCGCATATATAGCACGATCATTTATAAACAAGATTTGGTGGTCATCTACCATCAATGACCTGAAAGGCAGACATAGGGAAAAAAAAACGTTGCTACAAAACTTTAATACTATCAAATTTTCTGAAGTCTTGCAGAAATTTAATGTAGTTTGTATTAGTTAATTTCAAGCAAATTTCAGAAGGTGAGACTCTATTGAACAGTGTTAATTTTTTTACCGCAATTTCACCTTTCCCAAAGCAAATTGATGGCAATTGCCGTTCTACAAACGTCATAACCTTGAGTTTAATTATATAGTCTGGAAGTTATATTGGCCACTGATGCGTTCCAACTTTATAGGAAACTACTGCCGTCGATGCTAATATCAAAAAGAAAGTATGCTTTTGAAGAACAAGCCAGCTTAATGTGTATATTGTATATGTTATATATATTGCCAACGGCGTGTCATATATGTGCCACACTACGACTAATCACGATCATGGATAGAAGTTGATCATGATGAATAATTTATACCACAATCTCGCATAGTTATAAGCATTTCAGTGCGGCTAAGCTGGCCTTAGAAATGGTTCTCTCATTTTCACTGTTTTTCCTCACTTCCTAAACAGCGCACAGGCCGTACACGTACTAGCATTTGAGTCATTCAAAACCCGGTTCCGCAGCGTGCAGAATGTGTCCTTTTAATAGAAAAACCACTATATTTATTTGCCCAACATGGCATTAAATTATTACAAGGTGTCGTCTCTATGTTGTAGAGATACCCTTATCTAGGGAGAAACGCATTTTCCATTTAGCTTTGCTGATGACTAACTTCTTGGCACGAAATCATTAATAATTCTACCTATGACCCATATAAGTATACCTCGCGAGGCTGAACAACCAGCTATTTTCTCGAAAACAAATGAATCGTAATGAGCCCATTTAGGGCACGTAATTTGACGAAGCCTCTGACAAATATATTGATATAACTCGTTCTCTCCCGATGTGCTGCTGGTTGTCTTCAACCGTTGCGTTAAGCACACCCCTGGCCCATGTAGGCCTATCATCCTCTTTATATATATACATTCAGTTCTTCAGTATGAAACATAATAAAGTAAATCCTAATTCGCCCAACTTTTCCTCAAGTATACTTTTTTTTTAATTCCGAATCGAAATACACACCACCAGTACACTACAAAAACTTTACGTCTCTCTGTTTGTCGGATTCGAACTGATTAGGCTGATTTTTAGCGGCTCGCTAGACTTTTATAGGCAGATGGGGCTGATTAGATAAATATTTTTTCGAGAGAGCTTGTTTTTGTTTCATCCCACGGAGCGTAATGTTGATTTTAGAAAACTCCTGCTTTTTTCTTTGAAGAACTTTGGCCCTTTTAAGTTGTTTTTTTACAGAACATTTTTAGGGGCTGAAGTCAGTTCTCTTCTAATGGGATTTTTAATGTGTAAAACATTACCAAATCGAAGTCGACCATTCCGGTCTGCATGGTGAGCGTCGTTCCTGATGCCAGTACCTGCTCCTATATTTAATTTCCAGTTTTCGGGTCGAAAATGCCGTTTGAGGAATGAAAACTCTACGTAGTGTCCCACGTGGTAGTAGGAAGATTTTTTGCTATCAATCAATAAGTCTCGATAAGCCGCATAACAATATTACACATATATCTACATCTAAAATGGGTATTTTTGAATTCCTTTACGTGGTACCGGTTTGCTTATGTAAAAATAGAGCGAAAGCGCGCTTCAGGTATTTTTGGGAGAATCGGTAACACATTTTAATCGGTATAGTGAAAGAAAATCTAGAAGTAAACTTTGGTGATTTTTATTTAATAAAACTAAAAGGCAATTGAAGAAATCAATAGGCTGGCCGACTCTTTCAGTTTAGGTTTCAGTAACGTCGGCCGAAGACTGGTCGGTCAGGATCCGGCCAATGGCCGACCTGATCTATATGCGTCCCGGAAATAGCAGTCAAGACTACAGAAAACTTGTAGTCACGCAATGCAGTAAAAATCTACACATCATAAGCGAAACAACTCTGGAGTTAGTTGGGCCTCCTGATGAATATATAGAAGGACCTGATGAAAAAACTGCAAAGAGGTAATGAGTTAGATAAGACAGAGTAATTACAACGGAACAACTGTTAGTATATCTGATAGTTTACGTTAATTTGAATACAATATTAGTGAATCAAATTAATTAAATTAAGAACAGAAAGGCGCGGGGTGATGGCCGCGGGTCGGTCTAATTGTTATCTATGACCCTCTGGCATTTGGGCGGTAACTTATTTATCCCACTGCTGTAAAAGTCTGGCGCACAAGAGTCAAGTCTTGAAAGACGGCCTTGACATCGTGTTGAAATATAGATCATTTTTCTATCATGAAATTGTCGATATTTTTTAAACGGTTACTTGTGAGTGCGGTGCATGACAAAAACTATTCTATGTGACCCCTGTATTCTATCAATGCGATTCTTGCTGTATCAGGTGAAGTCCTGTCGAAGGGCAACAACTGTCTATTTCTACGCACTACTCACAAATCGGCTTAACGCCAAGTTGTTTTTATCGTCCCTTCCAATACAATTAGCAGTCTCATGTGGCTGTAGTGAATAAAGCTTGCCATAAACTTCCAAACGGACATTATAAGCTGTCGCAACTGTAGGGTGACGTACCGCCGATTTGATTGCATTCACCCATTTATGCGACCGTCTGTAATTATAACAGAAGGTAAATTTTCTATCACAAATTACAGCTCGATGTAAAAATGGGTTACTGTCGTAACCTCAGAGCCAAGAGAAGCAGATGTGTTTTCGTTTTCTATGTTTTTCTAGAAATGTATGTACGAAAGAAGCGAGCAAAATACATCGAAGTTTTCGCTCACCCGTTGTGGATTAGTTCCGCAAGTTTCCGTTAAAATTTGATAAAACGCAAACAATAGATTGATAGTAATTCATCCGATTCAAAGCGGCCCTGCGTATGTAAACAGCTGCATATCTAAAAATTATAACATAATTTTTTATATAAGTAAGTTCATAAGGCCCAAGGTAAAGAGTTAAGCGAAACATAATTGCGTTTTGCTTTTAGTTCGTAGAATGGCCTAGGACCTGTTCGAAGCATTTGGTTAAATCAATAAAATTGCAGTTTTTAAAAATTATCGAAATGTTCTACTGCTTGCACGCATATCCAGATTGAGCGATTTCACACACAGGGCTCCAAATCGGTAGTGCCTGCTATCATTGCACCTGTGCATATATGATGGTGTATCAAGTCTATTTATGATCTGTTTTCAAGAACCCAGACCTTTTTGCCAGTTGTTATTACTGCTAAACTTCCTCTATAGACATTTTCGCTCAAGCATAACGGAATGTGACGAAGTAGAGCATGGAATTCCATCTTCCAATTTCATTCAGGTACAAACACTGCTGGATCCTGTACGAATTAGTCGCTCGCAAACTTCATCGATAATGCGCCAGAAGGGAAGAAGCGACATCAAAAACAAAAAGTGGCGTCTTTACTTTTCAGTGCCTTTATATTTCTTATCGTGTTGCTGATTCCGTTAGTGATGGGGCTGCGTTTGTTGCTGTTTCCCTCGAATACCATCCCTAGGGAAGAATAAAATGACGGTTGCAGAACATCCAGGAGGCAACAAATGGAGCAACACTCAAATATTCCTGTTTTCGAACGGAGTCCTTTTTGTTCAGGACTCGTTTTCTCACACATACACAGCCAGTCTTTCAGACACATGTTTACATCCAGGTGCACAGGCACAGCACGATTCCCTTTAACCAACTTTATCACTAGGAGTCGTCGGAAGGTAGTTACCATATGTCCACCCAGCAAACACACAGGCACACACAGCCCTGAAAAGGTCCATCAGTGAGTCGCTACCCTACAGACGTACCTAAGTGGCGCTCACTTGTATCACTGTTTGAAAAAAGCTCTCTTTGCCTTCTTCACTTGCTAGTGTCCTTCCCTAGGTCTCGCTGCTACCGCGGCTATTACCGTCGTCGTGGGCCGCCACTTCACCTTTCTCAAGCCTATCCCTTTCCTCTGCCACTGCTGCTACTGTTGCCATTGTACTGGTGGACGTCATTTTGAATTATTTACCGTTTCAAATCGTTTCGTTTCGTGTCTCGTAGTCGTTTTGGACGCCATCGTTCTCCGCTGTGGCTAGCCTCGCGGTTCCTGCTGCTGCTGCTGTTACTCCAGGATCGCCTACAGCAGGCAGTGAGGAAGGTAAACTATATGAGGAAACACTGCGCCTATTACGACGCATTTGCAAGCCAGACAAAACCGAATACGACCACCATCATCGCTACCAGCTACAATTGACACAAAATGAAATTGATGCAAACTCGGTAGGCACAATAACAAAAACGTGCGGAAGGAACTGTGGCAAGGAAAAGTTTCGACGCGCCGGTTAGGGTGTAGAGCCAAAGCTTGACCTTCTGTGATGTCAGTACGTCTAGATGATGATGTTATGGCGTCGCCACTAATTCGAATCTACGCTTGCGAAAAAAAAAATGTAATTGTTTCTTCTAAAGGACACATATTATAAGTGCTGCTAATTTCTCAACAAAGAAACCGGCTCACTAAAATTTACAGTCATGGTGAAATAAAATAATTCTTGCACTTTCAGGATAGTATCAAAAGGGCGCTAGGATCCAATGAGGATGGAGGAACAAACATTAGGATATGATGCGGCCTGCCAACTTGAATTCTGCTAACTGGAAACTGTTTCTCGTAAAAACCTTGTCGGCGACCGCGAGGTCGAAGTTATGGAAATTCATTATGTCATATCTAGTGTTATTAAAATTTGACAGCCAGTTTATTACCCCTAATGAAAATGTAAAATTAAAAAATAGTTAATAAAGAACGTTTCGTAACGTTCTTTTCGTTTATTAAAGTAGACAAAAAAGTGGTCCAGAACTACTGACTGAAGAAACACTGACGACACCAATAGCGATATAATTTCTCTGAAGAGTGTGACTCATTGTTATTATCTCAATTTGGTTACGTCACTGTTATGTACGTCAGCCCTTGATGGCCAAAGGACGCTAAGTGTCCATCAAATATTTTTAGCCTTCAAATGCTAGGTCCCGAGCGCTTTGTCTGGTGCGGCATGAGCCTGCTTCATTTCTATGCTTTCTGTTCTGTTTAGAAACGGCTTCTTGCACTTTTTCCGGGTAAGTAGGAACCCGACCGTACCGTTTCAACTATGCAAATATCAACTTAATGGCTTGAAAAATAGACAGACGTCTGCCACAGCCGTCTATCTACCGTCCACCATAGCGTGTCTGGCAGCTGCGGTACACGCTAGGGTCTCTGGACAGCACCAAATCGGTAAACCATCGTCCGCGAAGCCCATTGCGATCTCTTAAGTCCAGCAAACGAAACATATTCGTGTCTTTGCTTCAAAAGCAAACATGATGGCACACGGCGTCCAAATTAAAGTCGTATCAATATAACCATTCACTTGATTATACTTAATCTAATCAGCGACAACCAACGATGGTGTCAACATATGATTTTAATAAGGAAATCTGTATGTACAGCTAATTATTTTCTCGTATACAGAATCTAAAATTATCTATACTTTACCACTCATTCGTCTCATATCATCGCTAAAGGCAATACAGTGAAGTGTTAACTATACCTGTATTGTATACTCATAACGGTACGGAAGTACACCAACCGCTAAATATCAGATATGAACTAAATTCGGTTAATGCAAGACGGTAGATCTTCTTTCTAATTTCTCGAAGCAACTACAAGATTGTTGATCTTGATCAATGTCGATAACATACCGATTCAGATTTTTTCAGCCCATGACTTACCCAGCGCGTTCTAGTTAGTTTAAAGGTGAAATATCAATTGGTACATTTTTATACGTTAGAAACGACCAATAACCTTCTCCTACATAAATACGGATTAGGCATATGCCGCTCAGAAAGGTATTTGTAATTAAAAAAAAAATCTATTTTAACTTTGCTACTTTTTGACGAAACAGGTCGTATTTTAGGTATTTACTATCACCAGCATAAGTTCCCCTTTTACTGAAATATTCTAGGGATCTATCACTAATTTGCATTTAAATTAGGAGATCAAGTTGTTACAAAAATATAACCTCACGAAGTCACTAACAAATCACTCACGAAGTGATACGTACAGTGCAAGATGATGAAAATAGATAGTTTCTGGGCGCTTGCCCTCAAAGTTGACATACCCAAATCACATTAAGGCTCAGTTCGATCAGTCTTAATGTAGAACTCCTCTGTCAAAATCAAGAGAATATCGTTAGGATTCAGAAGGGCACTGCACAATAAGGACCTAAAAGGGCAGCTTTGAAGTAATGTTAACAATGAAATGCTAATAAACATACGTATACGACTAATTAAATACATAACCTCCTAACTAACTCTCTAATTACTCTCGCTACTATTTTGATTCATTCGGTTGAACCCTTCAGCATATTACATGCTACAAAATTCTATTAAATTTCTACCAAGGTTCCCATTGAAATGAATGCAAATGTCTAGCCTATAAGCTTTTTCGTTTAACAATGTCAACTTTGCTTTCTAGTCGGTGTTTGAAAACATTGAAAGCTCATGTAGCTACCTTAAGAGGAAAAAGTGCAGAAAAAATAGTTTGGACGGCGGCTGTCCATGGTAGCGCACGTCTGGAAATTTATATGTACCGAAATATTGCATTTGAGTGTGAAATAGCAGCTAGAACCCCAAAAGGAGATCTAGATTGCGGCGAAATGAATACAAATTAATATATCACAATAGTACTCATAGAGTTTCTCGCGACAATGAACCGCGTCTCGGAATATACACGTCAGTTGTGACTGGTTAACCCGAGAAGTAGACCGACAAAAACGAGTCCATAGATATGTTCAACAATAAAAAATATCTTAAAAGATATTACCGAAGAAAGCAGTCTGATCCCTAAAGTCGACGTCTGCTAACGTTTCTAATATTAAATAAAGCCACGTTTCGTGTCGAATCCGAACGTGTAAATGCTCAACAAATTAGCTGCTGACCAGTTGGTAACAGTCATTGAAAAATTTAGGTCGAGGGGTTTCTATCTAGTCTGTCTCATGTTCCAGTGAGCAGAAGGTAGATAGAATCTTGAAAAGTGTCATACGTTCATGGAATACGTTCGGCTAAAATGACACCCAAGATTGACTGAAAGGTGTCGCAATTAACACAAGATATCGCAACAGGATTAATCATCTCGAGATGGGATCTTACCTACTTTTACGGTGAGGCGCTGATGTTCTCTCGTCGAAACGACATTTTAACGTAAGCCAGTTGGTTGTAAGACGCGCGGGAGTCTAGCACTACGCAGCACTAACCAGCGTATTGTTTACTATCAAGCGTTTAGGAAGGCGATCCGTGCTTGAGGTACGTAGAGGACAATGGTGACCACTATAAGCAACTGCTGCGCGACAGTTACAAGTATACAGCACAACTGGCCCGAAATCAAGTGGGCTCGAACTACGATGTATACTTGTGTCATAGAGACAAGCGTCGGTAAAGACACGGGAACAGCATGAAGCCAGACAGAAAATATTAACACATAAAATCGCTAATCCCCTTGCCGTTATTCCCGATAAAGTTTACAATAGACGAAAGTGTGTTTGCTTAACGAGGACATGAAGCCAGACGGGGTGGGAGCTTATCTAAGTAGATAGTTGTTTAATTCTATCTAGCTGAGGCTTGCGATGCTGATAATTGGCTCTATTTGTTTTTTATGCAAAATAGGCAGTTTCTTGCGGAATCAAAGACCGCATCTGATCTTTTTGCAATTACTGTGATAGCCTTAAAAAGCAGATTCCATGGCCGAAAGCCATTTTCGTAAGCGAAATATCTGTTACACAGGATTTTCCCACAGTGTCCCTGTGTTTAGAGAAGTATCGCTTGCGGTACCTCCACGGATTACAAATGTCATATCAAGGTTACATCCAATGTGGTTTATCGTAGTAAAAAAATGTTATTAGCGGGTATTCCCAAGAAGTATATACATGCACATGTGTGTAAACGGGCACTCATAAGGCTCACTTTTCCGCTAGCCAAGCAAGATGCGCTTCTACAAGCTTCTAGAATTCTTATTTAGTAATTCAGGCCGTCTACGTTTTCTTTTACTTACTCATTGTTATTAGGTCCCGAATATGCGTCTAGCCAAAATTACTAACATACTTTTACTATTCGGAAAACACAAGGGCGTCGATAGGGTCGGCGATTATGGCATAAGAAAGCTCTTAGTTGTAAAATGGTGGGATTCTTATAAACCAGCAGCCTTGCTCCAAGTGTAATCATCAGGTCAATGTTTAGCACAATAAGACGATTACAGAATATTTTGTAAACGATGCCGCTTTTAGCATGAACAATGTGGCCCATAGCACCGGTGCTGAACACGGCAAGCTGATCGGTATCCCACAACATTGACACAAGTGTAGAAGGACTATTCGATAAGCAGCACAATTACAGTCTGAAAAAGCTTTGCAAGCTCTCAGTATTACGGCCTCTTATTTAAAATAGAGGAATTTACAGTACTCTCTGTTGAAATCTTTTTTAAATTGTCATTGATCGCTTTTCAATTATGTTTTAAGGATCGGCATTAAAGAAAAAAAATTGTACCCATACTTTAACCAGTGGAAAAAAACTGTATGATTTTTTTTTTTTTCGCAATCTTCTTGGTATCGGTGAGGCTTTTTACAAAAGCGGTACCATTTGCGCGAGGTATTTGTGACCAATCTTGATAGGAGTATCAATATTAAATGTGAACACAGTCATTTAAGAGACCTTGACGTAGGTAAACTTTGAATGAATATAAACAGAGTCTAACCA